TTAAAACAAGCTAATCATAAATATTTACTAATTAATTTTATTCTATTTATATAAAAAAAATACTACATATAAACGACCCAAGAACTTACATATTTAATATATAAGATAAGTATAAAAGCATTTATTAATCTAATGAATTAATTACAACAAAATAATCATAAAACTTTACTAATTAATTTTATTCTATTCATATAGAAGTATAAAAAAAAATACTATATGCAATCCAAATTCATAGAGTCTGAGTCAAAATCCTAATAAGTTGGCCTGTATTAACTATAGCTCTGGTCAATTTTTGTCAAGATTTTTTTTTCAGGATTCTGTTTGTTAGGATTTTGATCCGGAATCAAGCTCTTACCCACAAATTTATATATTTAATATATAAGATAAGTATAATAGCGTTTATTAATCTAATTACTTACAACCTGCTAATCATGAATATTTACTAATTGGTCTTGTTCTATTCATATAGAAGTATAAAAGAAAAATAAGCACTCTAAGTTCATACATAAGAACTTATATATTTAATATATAAGATAAGTATAAAAACATTTATTAATCTTATTAATTAATTAAAACAAGCTATTCATAAATATTTACCAATTAGTTTCATTTTATTCAGATAAAAGCTTCAGGAAGATAAAATGTCAGGCAAATAGCAAATGAAAGTGTCGGGCAGAAAAAGTGTCAGGCAGACGAAAGTATTGGGCAGACGAAAGTATCAGGCAAACAAAAGTGTCAGACAAATGAAATTGTCGGGCAAACGAAATTGTTGGGCAAACGAAATTGTCAGGCAAATGAAAGTGTCGGGCAAATAAAAGTGTTGGGCAAACGAAAGTGTTGGGCAAATGAAAGTGTCAGGCAAATGAAAGTGTCGGGCAAATGAAAGTATCAGGCAAATGAAAGTGTCAGGCAAACGAAAGTGTCAGACAAATGAAAGTGTCAGGCAAACAAAAGTGTCAGGCAAACAAAGTGTCAGGCAAACGAAATTGTCGGGCAAACGAAATTGTCAGGCAAATGAAAGTGTCAGGCAGACGATTGTCAGGAAAATGATTGTTGGGCAAACGAAATTGTCGGGAAGATGAAAGTGTCGGGCAAATGAATGTATCAGGCAGATGAAAGTGTTGGGCAGACGATTGGCAGGAAGATGATTGTCGGGCAAATGAAAGTGTCGGGCAGATGAAAATGTTGGGCAAATTATTGTCAGGCAAATGAAAGTGTTGGGCAAATAATTGTCAGACAAATGGTTGTCGAGAAAATCATTATTGGGCAAATGATTGTCGGGCAAATAATTGGAACCCAAAAATATAAAATATTTTAATGATAATGCCTATGTAGCAGCTGAAAAAATTTTATTAAAAAAATTTAATCTTAACTTCCAACTTGTTTCTATCTTAGACTCACTCTTTTTACAATCTCCTTATTAAGTTTTTTGTCTTCTACAACCAACATTAAAGCAGCTATTATATTACTAAAAAACACACCCATTGTAGTTAGTAAAAAAAATGAGATAAGTAGGCAGGTGAACAAATCTATTTATATGAAAGATCAGAATAATAATTGTCAGACTCAATGTACAGGACAAATTATAATAGCTTGCACAGCTGTAAGAGCAAAACATATAGTGATCAACCTTGTAGAAGCTATTTTTGAAAGTTTATCTATAACATCTTTAATCTCTTATAATCTTCATACATGTTTTAAAAAATTTCTTTTTTATTACAATTTACTACTTCTCCCTTATAGTCAAACTATTCAAACTTTAATTCGACATATTAATAAATATAATAACAACAAAACAGTATCTATTATCACATTTTTTGTTAATGTATCTTACAATAAAACCTATATATATTTTCCTAATTTTACGCTTTTATCAGATCATATTGTTATTACTCTATATCTTCTTCTTAAAATTTATAATCTTCTTCTCAAATCTAACTTTTTTAATCCTACTTCTATCTCATTTGATTTATTTTTCAACAACCATTCTTTAATTTCTAATTGTAATTATTTCTCACTTTCATCAAATTCAACTCTACATCATTTTAATCTAACTATTATTATACACAATATTTGAGACTTTAATGAACCTACTAAGAGAGAAGCATGGCAGAATTATTGCCTCAATCATGACATATTTATTGCAAGCATCACAGAAACAAAAATCTCTGACAAATCTAACATCTTTTTTTGTAATAATAACTTTTTTACTTATTATTGGTCTAACTCTTCTAACTTTATGAAAGGCACTGCTATTATGATTTGCAACTATCTTAAATCTTATGTTTACAGTATTTACATTTATCCTGGAAGTACTATAGCACTTGATATTTTTTTTTAAAATAATATTAAGCTTTGCATCATTTTAGTATATCTGTCATTAACTGATACTTCTATTTATAACAAATTCCAAATAAAGTAATTAACTAGATCCAACAAGGCTCTTAACTTCATATTAATCCTATTATTCTTGGTGACTTCATTTTACAAAACAATACTTAAAGCTTCTCTTCTAAATATAAACTTCTTAATTTTCTTAATAATTCTAATATATATGTATTGGCATTTATTTTAACAATAAACACTTTATCTGGTTTAACAATACTAGCATTAGTTATATTGACTACATCTGAAATGACCAATTCAATATACAATTCATTCTTTCTTACAGTCTTAATAATAATTAAACTTCTACTTTTAGTGATCATTTAATTCTTTTTTCTACTTGAACATTTCCATATGCTTATAGTAAACTCTTATATAAACATATTGTCATTAACTGCTATATTTTCAACTACAAAGCTATGTTTACAGAGAACTGGGAATCCTTTACAGATAATCTATTTTAACAACTCCTATTATACAAAACTCATACCTATAATGAAACTCATAAAAGTATTCAAACCACTTAGTACAAAATTCAATACTCTATTATTTATACTGCTAATCATACTATTTCTAACAAAGTTTCTCACAAATGCAGCTACAATCACCAATACTTACCTTACAGTATTCTATTACACTTATCTTTTAAAAAACTTGGTCATATTATTAAACTTGTTAAAAAACTTATTTAACATTTCAATATCTTTTACATTAATCAAAACATTTCTTAAATTAACAAACAGTTGCAATGTGACCTTCAATTACTTACTTCTACTAATTCATTCTTTATTCAAGCCTGGTTCCAACATGCTTACTTAATTTGAAAACAACTCTTTTATGTTCATTATCTTGAAAATTCTCTTTTATTTTAACAATAAATCAACCAAGCTACTGACAATAAATGTGTTAATCTTGCAACACATTCTACTTAGACTATCAACAGCATTCTCAATTGTTACCACTAATCTATTTACTTTACTAATATAAAACTTTCTCAAGAGCTTATTACTGATATACTAATCATTAAACAACATGTTTAATCTCATTTTCAAAACTGGACTGCACACAGACCTATCAATCAAACCCTTTTTAATAATTTCTAACAACAATACTATCTCTTACTTCCTTATATTAACTCAACTTGGTATTATTCTCTCAATTCTCTTATTACTAATGATGAACTTTTGAAAACTCATTCTCAACTACCTAATAACAAAGCCTGTAGTCTTACAGGCATTAGTTATAAAATACTTAAACATATTAGCTCTCAATGCACTTTTGCTATTATTGCTCTCTTTAACTGCTGCTTTCTTGAAAACAAAATTTCCAAACAATAGAAATATAGTTACATTTATCCTATCTCTAAACAAAATACCTTTGATAATGACTCAACCTTACTTAACCTATTAGTTTTGTTGAATATATCTACAAGCTTTATACCAAAATTCTTACTATCTACTTAGCTCTGTTTTCAATTTATCACATTTTCTCACCTTTTAATTATGTTGCTCTCCTTAACAACAGTATCTCAATTCCTATTTATATTCTTAATAATCTTATTGAAGATGCTTCTTATAATAATAAAGACATTTGGTTACTTTTACAAGATATGAGTAAAACCTATAATTCTGTTAACTTTATTCTCTTTAAACATGCACTCTCTTGCCTCTTACTTCCTTTATCTACTATCAACATTCTCTCTGACCTCTTTACTAATCATCACAATTAGGTTATAACTAATTTTGATATAATTTCATTTTACTTAGTTCAAAATGGTATTAACTAAGATAAAACTATTGCTTCTTTGTTATAGTATATTTATTATAATCAACTTATTTCTTATATATACTCAAACACTTCTGGTTACAAATTATAATCTTCTTGAATTACTTAACTCAAACTTCAAACATCCAACTCATTACAAAAACAATACTCTGTCTTGGCTTATATAGATAATACTCTTTGGATTGCTTCATCACAATTTGAACTATTATATATATTATTTATAGCTGAATTCTTTTATGCTATAGCTAATATCTAAGTCAATTCTTTAAAATACATTCTGGTTATTAACAATTCTCTATTCTATTATACATCTATCTCTTATAATAACCATCTTCTTTCTTTTTACTCTTCTAAAATATCTTTTAAATTTTTAGATTGTTGGTTTATTTTGGACAACAAACAATCTAAACAAACAAAACTACTTATATCTAAATCCTTCTAACTATTCCAAATCACTAAAACCAAATGTATTAATTACTCATATGCTTATTATATTATTAATACATTGATTATTCCTACTCTTGAATACTGACTTCAAAATATTGTAATTAATTAACTTGCAATAAAATTTTTATTTAGCACATTAGCCTTGTTAAACTTAAAGCCAAACTTTGTTATACAATACCTTTTAGTACCTTTTTTATGCACAAATTTATAATATCAAACACATTTGGGATATTCAACTGCAACACCATATTCCTAATCTTCTTAAATAACTTAATAATCCTGACCTATTAGGCATATCTACTTGTATTCAAATCTAACAATTACAAAACAATCTTTGGTATTCAACTAGTATTTTCTCTTATTCCAATCTAATTATTAATAGTCCCAACTGCCTAACTACAAACTTTAAAATTATACAGATTATTAAACATATTGGCTAGACATTCTTAATTAATTCAACTTTATAACATTCCTTACACTTTATATAATAGAACTGTCTCTTTTAAATTTCTTCTCTCCTATCATTCTAAATATTCTGTTTTCAAAAAACAACTTAAACATCATAAATTTCTCTTTCTTTCCAACTTACTATCTATGATAATTTATATTTATTATATTGGCAACATATTTCTTTCAGACTAAACAAATTTCCTAAAAGTATTATACTTAATGGTTTACTACTCTTAAGAACATTACTACAAGCCATTTCTATCAATGTATATTATATAATCATTTTAACTTACCTTAATCAAACTATTTTTTTTATACTACTAATCACTTTAACTCTAATACCAAATTCTGATTATTTACTGTTCTCAACAATTAAATCATTGTTGGCAAGACCAGAAGGCATAAAGCTCTACAGGCCTTAATCTTATTACTTACTAGCATTGTTTATTTTAGTCACAGTTTTCTAACCTTTATCTTATCTCTTTCTCTACTACTACTATATGCCCTAGATGCCATTTTAATTCTAATATAATCACTAATAAATGCATCATCTTTATTCTTACAAATTTGGCTACTAAATTACTTTGTTGTATTAATTTTAACAAAACTCTTAACCAATATGTCAACTTTCTTGATATTGCATATTCTGTAACTATTCAAAATTCTTTATATATTCTATTTACTTTTTTATTAACAATTAATCTACAACAATTACCTTGCATCTTTTAGTTAGGCCAACTTACTAACAGGCTACAGTTTATCACTAATTCTAATTATACTATCTCATTTTATACTAATAGTTCTGTTATTGAGCTTGGTATCTCTCAATGTTTTATGGTTATAGGCTGGGTCCAAGTTGATAACTCTATAACTACTTATTTATTTTAGGTACTAGTTAAACTTTGACTATGCTTTTTTAAAACTAAAATTCTTATTATTCTTTTAGCAATTAGTACTACTCTCAGAAAATATTCTGTTTATATCTTTACTGACTTACAATCTGTAATTTTCAAATATCATAATATCTACTTATCAGCTTCTAAACTCTCTTATACTAATACTCCATACTTCTCTATTTGGCAAACTTTTATTAACTTCATTAACTTATAAAATCTTCAGCTTACTTTTCACAAAGTTACTGTATACCAAGATGATCTATTTAATAACCTTGCTAACCAACTTGCTCATACTTATCAAATACTATCCTTT